TATCCATTCTGAAGGAAATCAACCCTGAGTGCTCACTGGAAGGACAGATCCAGAAGCTGAGGCTCCAATACTTTGGCCATCTCATGAGAAGAGAAGACTCCTTGGAAAAGACCCTGATGTTGGGAAAGTATGAGGGCAAGAGGAGAAGGGGATGACAGAGGACGAGATGGCTGGACAGTGTCATCGAAGCTACCAACATGAATTTGACCAAAGTCTGGGAGGCAGTGGAAGACAGCGGGGCCTGGTCCATGGGGTCACGAAGAGTCGGTCACGACTTAACAATTAAACAACAACAACAACAAGCTGGGATGTTTAGCATGAATACTTTACTGAAACAGCGACGTCTATGGCTCGGGCATGTCATGAGAATGGCTGACAGTCAGATTCCAAAAGATCTTCTGTATGTAGAATTAGTGCAGGGAAAGTGCCTCAGACAGAGACCAGAGCTGCGATCCAAGGATATCTGCAAGCTGGAATGGACCCCAACAGATGGGAAACCTTGACATCTGAGCATTCAGCCTAGAGGCAGATGGTACAGCATGGCCGCTCCCAATTGGAAGAGACCCTTGTTCAGCAGGCCGAGGCAAAGAGGCCGTCCCAAAACCAGCAAAGTCAGAGAGCTGGACAGGGGACAGATTGTAATTGTCTTCAGTGTGGAAGGCATTGTCACTCTCGAATTGGCCTTCTCAGCCACACTAGACGCTGTTCCAAGACCTCTATTCAGAGCACGTTACCATAGTCTCTTGAGACTGAAGGATGCCTTCTACTTAATGATGTAAGGCACCTTGGGCCCTTTTTAAGGAGAACGGTGGAGTAAAATTGTTTTGAGCAAAGAGATACATTTAAATAAATAAATAAATACATATTTTGAAATATGGTGTGTTCTTGCAAAGACAGGTGATGAGTGGACCAATAATATATCCCCATCCCTATTTCATGTCTGTCAGGTGTATCTTGAAACAGCTAGGGGGAAAAAGATGGCCTTGAACTATGACTGCACTGTCAGGGGAAATACACAACTGTAGGTTGGGAGTGAGCTATGTGCTATGCATAGGCCATTTGTAACTCTACCAGATTGGTTGACCCCCTCCAGTGTAGCTCCCAGAAGTGCAGTTGTACCTTGAAACAAAGGACACATGGATCTTATTTTCAAATAAAAACAAGAGCAGCTCTTTGACTCTGCTGCTTTTCCACCAAAATTCATTGGTAGAAGAACAATGCAGCCTCTGATGAGTTTCAGGGAAGCCCCCCCCTCCCAGGTAGTTGCTTACCTCAGCTATACAGAAGTCACAGGAGGAGGTATAAGGTGTTAACGAAAAGATAGAGCAATCTTGTTATAATACAGCTTGCCCTGCTTACAAAAGGACAGAGGAATGTGATCTGCAAATAGAGATTTCAGACTGAGACCCAGAGAGCTACTTGAGTTAGGTACGTGGGTTGGGTACATTCAGCGAGGTACTTTGTTCTACCCTACTCCCATAAACATTACTGACCAAGAGGGAGGGTTAATATACCAGAAACTCAGTCTAACCCTTTCTTAGGACATGTACTGTCAGCTACCTAGGATGTGTCATTGTGCACACATAGTTTTGTTTATTGTTTTAAAAACCCAGGGAATATTCAAATTATTCAAATATATTTAAATGTTTTAAAATATCTTTATTTTCTGTTGTACAGGTAGGAAAACTAATTGAGCTTCTGGCAGGAAAAGCTGGTGTCCTGGATGGTAGATTTCACTATGGAACAGCATTTGGAGGCAGTAAAGTAAAGGATGTATGTGAAGATCTCATTCGTTATGGCTATAATTACTTGGGAAAGGACTATGTAACATCTGGCATAACTGGGTAAGTTTCAACTGCAGTATACATTTCCCTGTTTTTAAGACATTATTCCTGTTTTGATTTTAAGGCATATTCGTATGGTTAATGGGGCATAATTTGAATGCTATATGTGATTTAAAACAAAAACCTACCCTGAAGCATCAAACAAAATTAAACAACCAGCTTCTTCCATTTTGCTTTCCTGTTTTGTTTTTTAATGTTTTGAACAGGTTTGGCAGAGGTTCTGTGTGCTCTTAGAATAAAATTAACAGCCTTACACTGAATACAGTAGTTCAAAATATGGTTGTGGAGGCAGGTGCTCTTCAATTGGGACTTTTTCTGAGCGGCTTTTGTCGATTATGGAGTCAGTCTGGCATAGTTGCCTGATCTGTTAACTTCCTGCTGTGTTGATCTTCCTGTCTTCAGAGATGGGGAGTTCAAAGGAATATGAGATGGCTTAAGAACAGGCCAAGGCCATATGGCCCAACATGTCTGCGTTTTTAAAATGTATCTTAATCCTACCTTTCTATTTTTCCCCCCTTGTTCCCTCCCTCTGCGTTCCGTACACCAATCTATTGTGGCCCACTAACTTCTTCCATCTGTTTGATTTATAAAGCTTTTATAAACTACCTTTTGTTTTACCTTCAGCCTGCTTTGCTATCTTTACTAAGGATGGAGAAAATAATGCGCTCTGAATAACTTTGTAAATATAACTCCTTTTGAGAAGTTTGTTGGAGTGTGAAAATGTTTTCTCGTGCCCACCAATGTGCTTTTCATCTTTAATTGGCCTGCATTTGCTGGGGCATCTGAAGCTGCTTCCTCTCTCTCTCTTTCTCTCTCCATTGATTTCAGTCACAGGAATGCTCTTGTAAGTTGATCTTGCAAGGAAAATTGTAACACACAGCAGTGGTTTTATAAGTATTTCTCTCAAGGTTTCAGGAGTAGCTTGGTATGTCAACTTATGAAACTGAATTGACTGAAGAGAATGGCTTGTAGAAACATCCCCATGATTTGAGATTCCAACTGCAAAGTAGCTGCCCTGAACATTGTACTACTGGGGTGAAAGCAGTCATTTTCAGGAAAAGTAGTGGTGGCAACAAAGTAAATGCTTCTGCTGTCCCCATAAATTACGTAGTTAAAGGACCTTTGATCCATAAAAGTCTGTGAAGCATGTGGTGCTTCATGGAGCTAAATGGAAAAGTAGAAGCCTCTGTTATCACAGAAGAATAAATGAGAGGGAAAATACTTCAGATCCTGTAGCACTTTTTTGACCATAGTCAAGGGCAGAGTAAATTGACTTGCCTCTTCTCTTCTTCTCTTTCTAATATACAGTATTCTATTCCAACATATCGTCTAAATTTCCTTCACTTTCTGTCCACTTGGCCCTTTCTTTTGCATCAATAACTACAGAGGCCTTAGCAGGAGTATCTAGTATGTAAATTAAAAACCAGTTTTCATGTTTTAAAAATGTATTTATTTGGGATATATGCTGATTGTAAAGAAAATAGCCTGATTTGTCACAGATCTAAGTCGTACACATCTTTGTGCCCTTAGCCAACTTGCTATAAAAAGATGCACATATACATTCTGGTTTTTTTTAAAGGTAACTCCTATTAACTTTTTTTATTTCTTGGAAGAATTAGATGAAATACGTAGGTTATCTGCCTCCCAGAGGGAGGGTGTCAATCTTACCAAATTACAGAACATAAGGCATATTAGTATGGTGTGGGAGCATCCTTTGTAGTTCCAAAAAGGACTCATTTATTCTTTTAGACCGGTGATGGTGAACCTATGGCATGTGTGCCACAGCGGGCACACGAAGCCCTTTCTTCTGGCACGTGGCAAACCTTTTGAAGTGGCTGCAGCTGGGATTCCCCCTTTCTCTTCCTGTTCTGGGTCCTTTAACTTTCCGTCCGTCCCCATGATTCCCCTTTTAACTTCCTGTCCGTCCCCATGATTCCCCCTGAAACTGCCACTTCCTGTTCCGGTTCTGGTCTTCCGGGAGCACGGCAGCCACTGGTTTCTTCCCCACCCCCTCATTTTGGGCACATCAGCCGAAAAAGGTTTGCCTCCACTGTCTTAGACTTTTGTTAATTACTATGAAAAAGACATAAAATAAATATGGCCCTGGTTAAGAACCCTGCCAAATGTGAGAAGGTTAAATACAGAATTCGGGATAGAATTGTAGTGTTTGAATTTGAGTGGGAGACCGATTTACTTCCTTTTTCCCCTCTCTGTCTTTGGCAATGTTGTAAAAAATGCCTGTCTGGTGGTACTCCAAGACAAGAAACTTTCAGAAACTTAGAAGAAGATGTGCAGGAGCTAGAGTTACAATGAATTAAGATTAGATTTTAGATTTCTTTTTCATGCTCTTTTGGCACCAAAGGCACAGAAATTGCATCATATTAGGGATGGGTAGTAGATGTGGAGCACAAAATAGCAGAAGCAAAAGGTTGTGAACATCTAGGATTTCCAGGTAAGCATTCCATGATGCATCCTCCCAGATCCCGAAGACTGCACCACACCAGTCCTATAATTTCTTCTCTTGGGAAAGAAGGCAGCAAAAAGCACAGAGCAGTGATCAGTCCTGCACAGTATGATCTCAGCATCTCTTTCTCAAAGTTCTGTGACTGGAAAACAATAGCAAAACCATTCACCATGATTAGAAACCAGAGCTGCAACTTCCAAAACTGCAGCTGTGCCCCTTACTCTCCATTTCTCTTCACCCAGCTTGTGCTGTGAGGGAAATGTAGACACTTTTGAAGACATACAGTTTGTGCCCCTCTAAATCCAAATTGCTTCAGGGTATTGCGATTCAGTTTGTTTCATTTTGAACAGCACCTCAAGAGCAGCACAATTTGGTTCTTGATCTGTGACTTAATTAAATTTGAAGCACGCATCTAAAATCTGCATTCTACTACCAACATACCAAACATTTTGTTTCCACCTAATGAAAGTAAACTTTTCTAGTTTGCCTAGAAATTTAGAAATATTGAACTATAGAGCTAGAAGGGACCTCAAGTGTCATCAAGTCCAACCCCTTGCCAAAGAAGAAAGTATGCAGCTAAAAACAAGTTGTTGTTTATAGTTTTGTGTGAGTAATTGCTGGGGGAAATCATAGTGAAGGAGAAAGGAGCAGCAGGGGAAAGACAGAAGGACAAAATTATCCAGCATATTGGTTTTTACATTCCTACACATAAGACTGTATTGTTGTTGATCATATGACAGATCTTTTATGGAGACACTTTAGACACTCCCTCTTTATATGAAAAAAAAGAACACATGCAAAATTTAGACAGTGCGACAAAAGGTCCAGAGCCTAGTTGTAAGAAAAGAAGTAGTTCGTATAATACTCTGCTCAGTTGTAAATGAATAGTTTAGCAGGTTTGCGCAGTAGTTTAGGAAAGATATGAAAAAGAAGTATAAATGGGAACCGTGATTGAAATAGATGGTTTAAATCAGCTTAATTTACTGCATCTTCATTTAAAGCATTCCATCATGCAGGTGAAACTTAGCTCTTTTTATGCATCAGCCAAACAGGGCTTTCACTCAAATAAACCTTATACACAATGTAAACTGTGTCATAAGATTCTTTGTTGGCTTGGCTGTTGTGACAACAGACTCACCTCTCTGAAAGGAACTATTTGGGTTTTTTTCCTCTCTCTCAGGGAGCCCTTGGAAGCCTATATCTATTTTGGGCCAGTTTATTATCAGAAGCTAAAACACATGGTGTTGGATAAGATGCATGCACGAGCTCGAGGACCAAGAGCAGTCCTAACCAGGTATGGCAGAAACAGGAACACAGAGTTACAATCTAACATCAATATATCTGTGAAGATTCTCAATCATCCAGGTGAGACAATCTGGAAGTTGAGTCATGGCAGCTGGACTTCTTTCTTATTAGATCGAAACATTTCGCTACTCGTCCAGGTAGCTTTTTCAGACTGAAGAAGCTACTTGCATGAGTAGAGAAACATTTCATCCTAATACGAAAGAAGTCCAGTTGCCATGACTCAGCTTCCAGATAATTTAATATCAAGTTACATTTTGGTTTTAATATAATTTCTGTTTTTTTAAACTGGTATGCCGCTACATAGGTTTACCTAGAGTGGCAAAGAGTTTCCAATTCCAACTGTAGTTTGAAACAGTTATGCAGAGGCCATGGGGCTACTTCTTGTTGTTTTTCTTAACTTTAATACTGTATATGGTACATCTCATAAATTATGCATGTATGTTTGTGTGTGTTCCAGTCTCCACCAAATCGAGAAATCTGAAGTGTAACACAATCAGTAAAATCACATTAAAAGAACCTAAATGATACAGATACTTTAAAATAAATAAAACATTTTGAAAGCACTTCAAAACAGTTTAGCAGTTTAAAACAATGTGAAGTCTACCAAAAGAGGAGATTAAAGACCAACCCATGATATCTTCTTTTGCACAAATATTTATTAATTAATGAATAGCATGTAACCCATCTTCTTTTTCTTCTTTACTTTCTCTTCTCACTATAAACTCAGTGAATGGGGTCCATGAAGAAACATGAACCTCCTCTTAAAATTGAATGTGTCTGCTCTTAGGCCAGCCTTATTCCTTTAGGATCATTTTGGCACTACTGCATGCTTAACTGGGATTTAAGTTGCTTCTCTAACATACTGATGTGATTGTGTGGAGGGAGAACTTTCTCCATTGCAGTAGATAACATCCTGAGTGGGTCTGTGTGTTTGTTTGAAAGGCAACCTACAGAAGGCCGATCCCGTGATGGAGGCTTACGTCTGGGCGAAATGGAGCGAGATTGCCTGATTGGTTATGGAGCCAGCATGCTTTTGTTGGAAAGACTTATGATTTCAAGTGATGCATTTGAAGTGGATGTATGTGGCCAATGTGGATTGCTAGGCTATTCCGGATGGTAAGCAGTTTTTTTTTAGATGTTTCTTTTGGATTTAAACACAAACTTCTGTGTTCTTTATTTTTTTTTCTTTTTTTAAAAAATATTAGTTGAAACTTTGTGTAAACATGCAAATATAATTTATCATTCATAGTTTTATGTATCTTTATACATTTCATTGTATATACATAACCCACAACACGGTGCTTTCACACACTTTATTCTTTCAGTGTCATCTACATTATAAAGGATATTTCTAATGCTGAACAGGAATCAAGAAATCTCTTTACAATGTCTTTTTAAAAAATAATTTCTTCCAGTATTGATGTGATCTCTATGTTTTTGTTATGAAGCCAAACTCAAAGATTATTTAAAGTCCTTCTCCTCAGGATTTTAGTAAAGTTTTTGTAGTGCCTGTAGAGCTGCTGGATTATGTCTTCACAGGACAAAAATAATTTAAAAAGCTACTGGACTCTCCCCTGTGTTCTTGGCAGAAGATTATCTAGTTCTCTGGAGATTTTCCAACCCTTTAGTTTAAAAAAAAAAACACCTACTGTCTAAACGTAGGCAAACAAAAAGCGTTCATCAGCTGAGTGTAGGAATTGAGACAAAGATGTGATTTCATGTATCACTCATGTTACAAATGGCTGACTTATCACACTGTTTTCAGAAGAGAGAAGACCAGCTGTGTCAATGTCCTTTTCTCATCTAAGATCCAAATTAGACCACACTGAAAAGGCTGGCAGAAGAACTCTGCAGAACTGTACCTTTTGTTCAGTCCCTTTGAGTCTCACAGAGCAAAAGTAAAGAAGAAGGATGTAATAAAGATTTGTGAGGGGAAGAAGAGAAGATTCCTCCCCACCCTTCCCCACCACCCAGCACCCCCAAGTTTGGCTTGTAGAATCAAACCATACTTACCTGTTTCCTGTGGTTTGTTTTGTTTCTGTTTTTGTTTCATTAGTTTCTGGGGTATTCTGTGTTTGTTTGTTTGTTTTGCTTTCATTCTTATGTTGTTAATTCTTCAACCTTTTTTCTCCAAGAATCAGAAAATATCTACAGAATGTTCTTTGCACTGGGCAAGGGCCTGACTCCTGTTGGTTTGAATTTGCCAGAAAAACTTCATTCAGTCTCCACTCTTTTAAGCTTATAAATTATTGCTTGCCAATTAAAAGCAAAAAAAATTCCATTAGTCACTGGTATAGAATATGTGTAGAAATCCTGACTGCCAGAGGGAAGGGCATCTGAAGTCGAATATTGGGAAATGATATAGCTTCTGTTAGATATAAGAAAAGCCATTTACTCTAGGATAAAACCCTACACATGACCCAGGAAAAGCAAAGGACAAAGGCAGTAGCAGTTGGGAAATAAACTGAAAGAGGACAAGTGAAGTGAGAAAGTTAAGAATCCAGAGGTAGCTGAAAGGAGGAAAACTTGCATATCATGTCCCCGATTTCTGAACTTAATCTGCACCTAAAGAATGTACCAACATGGCTAAGCTATTGGTCAGCACACTTCAGAGAGAAAAACCCTTTAGCCTCCATCTTCTAGGCCTAAGGGTATAGCCTTTCCCTAAGCTTTTTTGAGAAAGACTCTTTCACTTCTCCTGTCCCTCTGCCTTGTGAAAACATGAAGACTATCATCCTTCAGGGCCAGAGCCCCTGAAACATCTGGGCCAGCCAGCCAACCCTCTAAAAGGCCTCATGAAGATGCAGTCCCTTGTTGGGATGAGAACTCTGCCAGTGAGGATAGACTGCAGTTATCTCCCACAGTGTTCTGTCTGGGGTTCTGACAACTGTTTACCTTGCTGTGATTTGTCTTTTATGGATTTGACCCTGCTTTACTAGACTTGGCTCCTTTCTAACTGATATGGAACCACACTCAATGAGGGCTTCTGCTGTAGAGTGCTCTTCCTGAGCATTTTCCCAAGCCAAGTCATTGGACTGCAGACTAGGAACGCAGGGATCCGATACACATAGCTATATCTGGGTAGTGGGTAACATAATTGGAAGAAAGTAGCAGCTGTTTTCACTTTGGTAGAATCATAATAATGTTCCATCAAGTCAGTTCTGGTTTATGGTGATCTTTTTCAGGGGTAGACAATACTCAGAAGTTATTTACCACTCCCTTCTTCTGGGGGCGTCATGGAACTGTTCAGCTTGCCTAAGATCACATAGGCTGGCTCTTCTGGGATGCACAGTGGAGAATTGAACTCCCAACCTTTGGCTCTACAGCCAGATACCTAACTCAAACCCATCCATGAAGTGTGGTGTCCTTTCTTAAAATATATGCAGTTTCTACTGTTGGAATTGCATTTGAGGAAACTGTTGACAGCAAAGAAACAGCCATGAGGCACACTCAACTACCGTACCTAATTTCAGACTTGAGAAGCTAATTCCACATATAAGTAAAATAAGATTTAGTAGTTAAATTCCTGTTGCACAGCTGTGTCAGCAAAATTAAAAGAGCAGAACTCAGAAGGGCAAATTCTTAGCCAATTAACAGGTAACTGCTTGGATCTCTGTCATGCACCAAGTCACAATGAGGAATGAAAGCAGGGACTTGTTGATTGGTGGCAAGTTGTGTTGTCGTCATACTTTTTCCATTCTGCTGGCATAAGTGCACAACAGAATTTGGGCCAACTTCTGTAAATACAGTATTATGCCACTCTTCAGTTTCTTTCTTTCTTTATTTGTTCGTTTATTTATTTATTTTTTAATGTGAAAATAGAACACTCTGAGGTCTTCAACTTTGTCTTTATTTCCCCCCCCCCCGTGGCTATTTGTAGTGAATAATTACCCCTGGGTACATGTAAGCCATAAAAGTTAGGCTTAAGTATGGCATAGGTTTATTTATCAAATGCAAAGATACTTCCGAGGGCAATTGGACATGGAAACAGAAAATTCTGCATCCCAAATTACTGTAATCATGTGGTTCAATATATACACATATTTGTTCACAGTTATCCAAATATATCAGTGGATATTTGGCAAGGTACGGTTGAGTAGCAAAACCAATTAACTGAAGGAGGAATGGGTAACAGAACTAATGTAGAGCCAAAAAAGTAAAGGTTGCAGGGGACATGTGTATAGCTATGGAAGGATGCACAAGGACTGTCCCCTGAGCTTTTGATTTTGAAGCCTCATGTTGACATTACTGTTTCTGCTTACAGGCATATATGTCCATAACAATAGTAACCAGAAACCTGAGTATTATTTCTTAAATGCTGAGCTAATTTTTGTCTATGATTGGATTTCATGAAAAGTTTTGCTAGCTGTGAAGAACTGTTAGCGATTTGCTAATCTTGTAGAACTACTGGTGTTGCCATGGTCACTTTGCGGTTGGGGTGAAATGCAATTTAAAGGTAGGGGGAATCTGAAGAATGACATTTGACAATTGAGTTTGTAGAAATTTTATAAAAGTTGTTTAAAATCAGTGAGTTATGCTATATAAATGCTGTAATGATGTTTAAGGGATATAATTCTGGTCTTACAGAGTCTGTCGAGGGAGCATAACCTATAATTGGATATCTTATCCAGTTATTAGGTGATTATGTGCTCTCTCTGTCAATAGTGAGAGCCAAGCAGCCCTTTAATGAGCAACACAATAGAAGCTAGGCAATTACAGCAACACCAGACCTCTCAAATGGGCTTTGCCAGTAATTCCAGTGTTAGTGAGGAACTACTATATAAACAAGCTTCTTGCAGCACATGGCTCTGAAAACAGAAAGTGCCTGTCTGGGTTGAATGGTAAACCAGATAGTATTGCTCGTGCAGTTTGACATTGAATTATTAACTTCAGTTAAACTGGGATTCCTGAAATGAGAAAAATGTTTGGAATAGTCTTGGAATACACAGGTGAATAGTCCAAAATCAGGTGGATTTTGTCTTATTCAGAATTCTCACCAATGGCAAGATTTACTTTCCAAGCCTCCTTGGGTCCTTTTTAAGGAGAAAGGTGGGACAGAAATATTTTAAATACATCAGTAATAAGTTATGTTGCTTTCCTGATGTATGTTCCAACTGCACAGTAAATTATAGATAAACTGTTAAGCATGGCACAGTTCTTTCAAAGTGTTTAAAATTGTATGTGCAGAGTAAAGCTTGACTGTTAAATGGTTGCCACAACATTCTAATATCTTAATTTAAGTGGAATTCTGATTTCAGAGATTTAGAAGTTACCAGGATTTCTGTGAATCCTTTGGTTCAGCCCTTTAATTCCTTAATTTATTGTAACTTAGCCTAGATTTAGTTGTTCCAATACAAATTCTTCCCATCCTTATCCTTCTATTTACTTCTTCATTATCTGGCTTTGTATAAAATTATAGTTTACAAGCTCTGTGTGGAAGACATATGCTGCCCTACACTCTGTAAAAGCATCATGCATATAAACAGTGGTCTATAAATAGTAGCAAAACAGGAAAAGGACTTGGATGAACACTTTCACACACACACACACACTTTGCAGATACCTGAAGTTGACTCCTTCCTGACCCTCCATTCATATATGGAGTCTTCCAGTGGCAGGGTGGAAGGGGGTATTATAAGGTAATTTTGGAATCTAGTCCAATATAAGCAAACTTCCTCTACAGTTTGAGGCCTGGGCATTTTGCAGCAAAGTTCAGGATTTGACTGTGTGTGGACTGCAGGAGGGGGAATGATGATGGTTGACATTGTTTATTCTGTACTTCATACTTGATTTTGTTTAAAAAAGCATTGCTGCCCACTGAGGAAAAAAGAGCAGCTGCCAATTATCTCTAACATTCTGTAGGACACATCTCACTCCAATATGCCTCACAGTCTTTGTGGATCAGTTACAAAATGCTGCCATCAAAGACAGAGCCATCTTGGGTTTAACAGCATGTTCAGGCACATCTTGGATTTGGGCTAGCAGGATTTCCAGGAGAACTACTGTTCTGGAAGCAGATGGTCCCTGAAGCAGTTTGAATGTGATGCCTAATGGCGAGATCCTGATCTCGCTGCACAGGTTGAGGAGTACATGATATCCAAACAAACCTTGTGTAATATGACTGTTTAAAAAATAATTACTAAATTCACATGTTAGGTCCTCATAAAGCCAATGGGCAGTTGAATTAGTGAGCTCTGCTTCCTGGCATTTTGTAGGAAAGCCTACTAATTGTAGCTGTGTGTGTGTGTGTGCATTTTAACCTATTGTTGTTTTTCCTTTCTATTGCAGCAAGTACAGGTTGGGCCATTCATTCAGCTCACAAATTAGACCGAGGGGAGAATCTCATTCTTCACCTCTACGTTGGAACATCACAATTAACATTTCTCTACCACTGACTGGGTGTTTCCTTGGTAATATAGGGCAGCTAGTTACAGAGGCTCACAGCGCAGTTAAGTGAGCCTCTGTGTCAGCAGATCAGTTTGCATTAAACCTCTACCCACAGACTTGTCAACAGTAGAGGTGAGGAGGGAGAAATGCATTATGCAAAATGGCCCTTCTTTGTATGCTAGAACTGGCCTACTAATCAATAACATATTACTTGAATTTTTGGGGGGTTGTTATTTTTGGATTGGGGAGACTTTTATATATATATTTACACTAAAAGGGGCTGCTATCAATGGCACTAATTGCCTCACTAATGACATAACTGGAACCCAAATTCACAATATGCCAAGACCATATCAGCACCTGGCTTTGTCAGGATGTCCAACACTTTGGCTGGACTTACCATTGTTCTCTAACCAGATGTTGCTTTTTCCAGTGTTCCAATGAGTATAGGGCTGTGTAACATCTCTTGGAGGCATTATGGGGAAGTTTAAGTGGCATCTTGTTGATTATTAAACATAATTCATAATCCTGTTGCCAAGGATTATGGTTGGGACACCAACATAGAAAAGTGCCCACCAGAGGGCACTATATCAAGAGGCATCTTAAACCTAAAGCCCACCTTGCCAACACACCAGTTTTTGGCCACTACTTGCCTCTTTTATTCTGTTTCCAGGCAGAAACACTTCGGAGTTCTTATATATAGTTTTAGCTAATTAGAAACTGAAGATTTGGAATGCCTGTGGTTGGCTGTCTGATAATTCTTGAAAGGCTGAATTCTAAAGAAGGGATTAGATGCCAAATATTCATTTGTGTATATTGTATAGCATTCACTTTAAAAGTCCAGAGTGTACGGACATGTGCATGTTATGATCTGCTTGCAGTAGTGACATTTAAGGGATGATCAGTTAAATTGATGAGATAGCACAGAATGTTCCTTCCACTCTAAGAGTAAAGTTGGTGGGACGTTTATAGTCAAACACCTATGTGGGAAAGGAAAGTTGAAATTGGATATGGAATTTCACTAACCCAACAAATAGATTTTTAGTTGTCATAAATTGGCATGTGCTTTTATTATGAAAAAGTGTATTTAGGGATATTCCTCTGAAAATGGCTGAAATCCTGTAGCCAAATTTCTAAAAAATCACAGCTGCCGATGACATCATCAGTCTCACACACAGAGTAAGTTACAGCAATTTCAGCCATAATGGCATGAATTGGAAACAGATGTTGTGAAAGCAGAGACGGTATGTACATATTTCTATATGCAGCTTCAAAAATACCACTTATATAAACATTTACAGAGGAAAAACACTATCATGGAAGTGGAAAAGAGAATTGTAGGAGTCTTGTTTGACTAGAGTAATACCCTGTTCCTTATTTCCATTGGTAATCAAACTGCTGTCTGTGAGAGAATAGTGCAGGAGTGTTTCTTTCATTTGCATCATCCACTGTAAGAACAGTTTCCATGGTTTAACCCTTTATCAGATGCAGCCCTGAAGGACCTGGATCTGTATGTGAATTCTAATCATCCACGCACATGCTTTATATCAGCCTTCTCAGATGTAGTGTCATTCTACAGCTCTCTTGTCCTTTATGATTGTGATGGCTTTCTAGTTAAGGATGGTAGAAATTATAGTCCAAAACATTTGTTAGGCGCTGTGTTGAGGAAGGTTGCCTGTGGTGAACACAGGTGTAACTTTGAACAGAGAGTTAAAGAAAACATGGATACTTTTGGACCAGATTCATCCTGTGGGCTGTTGGTGTCACTGAAGCAGGTATATTAATCCATCCTTTAAGCTCTGCCTTCTGGATCATTTCCAAGCATAATTCAATGTTACTGTTAACTTTCAAAGCCCAATAGGACTTGGGACCTAAATACCTTAACACAGTGGTCCCCAACCTTGGGCCTCCAGATGTTCTTGAACTATAACTCCCAGAAGCCTTCACCACCACCTCTGCCGGCCAGGATTTCTGGGAGTTGAAGTCCAAGAACATCTGGAGGCCCAAGGTTGGGGACCACTGCCTTAACACCTGTTCCTGTATCTAGTTGTTCCTATCCCATGAGTCATCAGCCAAGGTTTTCTTCCAGCTGTTCCTCCTGCCACAGGTAGTGGCAGGTGATAATTGAGGAAGGAGCCTGTTAGGGGAGGTGGCCCATTTATTTGACTCCTTGAGATACTTACCTGGCACTTCTTCTATGACCTTTTTGTCTCCACACAAATGCTTTTTTTCTTTGGAAATTTTCTGTCATTACCTCTTTCACCTGCTGCTTTATGATTGATGTTATTATGATCAAGGCATTGCACTGGTTTTGTTTTTATGTTTCAGAATTATTTGCTTGAATGTCACTATAAGACACCAAATAAATTAATGCCTCTTACTTTCTTACTAACAGAAATGTAAACTGTTTTTTTTCCTTTTCCCTAGGTGCCATTACTGCAAATCCTCATGTCATGTGTCTTCACTACGCATACCATATGCCTGTAAACTTTTATTCCAAGAACTCCAATCTATGAACATTATACCCAGATTAAAATTGGCCAAATACAATGAATAAACGATGGAGGAGCAAAGAGAAAAAATAAGAAGAGGAAACGTAATCGGAAAGAGCTTAAGTGACAACAGAACTGATAAAACCAAATAGGCCCCTAATTCCTTATTGGTTTTCTCTTCCCTCTTTGACTGGGAGACAATGCTAAGAGAACATTAGAAGCCACTACCACAAAGACTCAAGCTGTGTTTATCTGTGGCAGTAAGTTAGATGCCCCCATTCACCAAGACTGCTACTTCAGCTCAGACCTCAGCTTCCCCTTGAAATGCAGGAAAGCACTGAAGATCAGACCTGCTTAGTGGATTTCTTTCTTTATCAATAAACCACTTAAATATGTGCATACATTAAGAGTGGTAACATGGTACTGAAATCAGTGGGGTTTCAAGGAATTGTTTTGTACAGCCTAAACTGATACATTTTGACTGAAGCATACTATAAACTAACTGCAGCTGTTTCTGTTTTGTTTTTTAATATTATTGATTAGGACCGACCAGATAAGCAGGATATAAATAAAATAAATAAATAAATAAATAAATGGAAAAAATTTTAAAATGTTATTTACATTTTTCTGATTTTTTAAAATTACCCAACCCTGTATTAAGCTGTGGCATAACACTATTAAAAAGTCCTATCCATTTTAAAATGTTGAATAGCAGTCATGATAAAATCTAAAAGCCAAATACTGTAGGTATTACCTTGATACCTTCATTGCCGTTATAAAAACAGACAAAACTATAAAGTTGTGTGTCTTACCTAAAGATTCCTTCATCATGTATGATGCTGCAAAATAATGGTGAAAGGGGATGAGGAAAGAGAAGAGACAAAAAAGAACATGTTGGTAACTTAAACCCAACACATTGTGACATTTCAAAGACCAGCAGGTTTGTTTTCAGTGTGAGTTATTATGGATCAAGATCCACTTCTTCAGATACAAGGAGTGCAAATACATGTCCTCTATATTTCTACATACGGTATATTGTCATTACCAGATGAGGTTACAGATAAAAGATATGGTGACAATGCTTTGTTAACACAGAAATGGACTATCTTGCCGTTAATGCATTGTGTTAGCAGCCCCTAGCCAGGATGATGAACTGCATTCCAGGTAGACTTGGCATTCAGGAATGCCAAGAGTTGTTTCTGGAGCAGAGGTGAGAGTCTGTCAAAAGAGAGTCTGTCAGATATTACATAAAACTGGGTCATGAATATATGTAATGTTTTGAGAAGCCTTGATCTCTATTTAGAGATGCACTAGAACTTGTTTATGTAGGGGCCTAAATAGAAATCAAGCCTCCTTGGCACCCTACGTATCTGAATGGGCTGTAGCGCACATCTTCACATTGGAAAATATCTGTGAAGTCCTGTAAGAACAAAATACTTTTTGAGGAGAACAAACATATAATTTAAATTATTTTTCTCTTCTTTTTTCTATTTATTATTTATGATTTATTATGTTTTGTTAATTGATATTTTGATATTTTTGGATTTATGCTATTATAATTGTATATTTTTATGTTAGCCGCTCAGAGTGGTATTGACCTACCAGATGGGCGGGATACAAATCAAATAAATCAATAAATAAATAAATAAATAAATAAGGAAAACTTGCACATAAAAGGGTATTTGAAACATGATCAGCAATATGTGACTGTTCAGTAATTAGGTATCTGCATAGCCAGAGGTTGGGAGTTTGATTCCCCACTGTGCCTCCTTGACAGGGCCTAGACTTATCCCTTTCAGTTCTGAAGTTGTTCACAAGCTAATGCCACAAGCTTTCAAGCAAGGATAGTAGAATATTCAGAGGTACAGCTGGGCTTCTGTTGAGTTACTTTTCAGTGATCCCTGATGAAGATGCAACGATCTGAAGAATGCCTCTTGTGATACTAGCACAATGAGGTGGGCTAGGCAAAGTTTGCCACAGAATTTTTATTTCCCATTCCAGCTTTTTATCACTTTGTGCTGCAGTGTCCAGGGAAAGCAATTTACCAGAAGTGTTATTCATTGTGAAGGTCACTACAGTGTAAGTCCAGCTGAGATGCTGAATGCATTTCACTTCCCACCCTAGTCAAAGTCTCCCCCGCCTTGGCTGCTATAAGTTATATCTACCTTATAAATTATTTTCCAAAGAGGTGACCTAACTATGCAAGCAGAGCTTTTTATTTGTCTAGGTTATTGCATTAGAATAAAGACATGGCTAGCATTCTTGAGTTTCAATGACCATAAAGGCTGACAATTTAGACAAGTTTTCAAAAGAGAAAGGGAGGCTGAGGCTGATGGTAAAAGTTTAATCTGGCTCTAGACTGACAACATGCGGACCTGCTTGATATTTAATTGGGTTACGTGTGCAAATTTATATAAAAACACAATTAAAACCATAATAAGTATTAAGATTAAATCGTAAGGGGGGGGGTTAAACAAGCCCAACATCAAATCAAATACCCGTTTAATATCAATGGGTAGGATCCAAATTTAGTCACTACTTTCGGAAAATATAAGATTGTTTTCTCCAATGATACCAACTTGATTAAAGTTGGTTAAACTTGGTTAAAGTAGCTCACATATTTAAATTGAAAATTTCTATATAAGCAAACAGTTTGAAAGGGTTTTATGACTCAATAATAACAAGTGTGCAAGTTATTTCATGTGTGAATATGGAGAGATGAAAACCATTTAGGAACTGACCACCCTGCTTTCCTGTAGCACAAGTCATTAGAAGGAATGAAGATCTTAGATTTCTTTCCCACAAATATTTAGGCATTCAGAGGGATTAGAATTAAGCTCAAATGTTACGTTTGGAACAATTTTGCTGGTTATGTTAGATTAAGAAAAGGCGATTCCCCCCCCCCATAGAAATTAAAAGCTCAGCTCCATAAGTGAAATAGAAAACACTTTACTAGTTGCCATTTTCAAATAAGCTCATTTTATCTGCTAAGGATGGGGTGCCTGCACAAAAACAGAAAACAGACACTCTAAACTATTCTTCAGTTGCTGGAAAGTGTTCCACAGAAGAAAAAAGTATATTACAAAAAGGTAGTGATAGATAGTGTGTACCATAACCACAGATTTGATGAGAAGAGTTCAGCAGCCTTCAAATGTGATTCCATTTCCAAAAAAACATTGAGAGGGGAGAAGCAGACTGTAAGCTTTAATCATAACCCCTGTGCCACTGTCCCAGCTAATAAGGACTCAACATGCTCAGGCACTGCTGAATGCTAAATGACCATAGAATAGAAGACCCTGGAAGATGTTAGATGGCTTAGAACAGGTGTGGCATTGGAAGGACCAGGCTGCCAAGACAGATGAGCGGGGAGCAGGAGTTTAGCAGCAAGCGAAGCTCCGTGTCTTGTCAACGTGCTCCTATTAGGTTCTAATGCTGCTGCTGATCTAACAGGAGGTGGACTTCAATTGCAGGGCACCTCCCTGCTCCTGCTCACCATTTCCTTTATGAGCTCGATTCAAACTATCCTCCCAACAACCTATTGCATTAACAAGTACCTTCCCTCCCCCCACACCGGTCCTTGGGAGAACGGTCTTCAACTAAACCAGACCCTGGTGTCAAAAAGGTTGGGGACCACTAGTAAGAGGAGATGAAATTGCAGCTGTTTGAAGCTATGGATAGGAGACCAACAGTTCAGACCATGGGTTCACTGAGTGACCACAGCTTTCCAGAGTTTCAGACATGAGTCTTTCTCAGCCCTTACCTGGATATGCCAGGGATTGAACCTGGGAACTTTTTCATGCAAAATAAATCACTAAACTGAGCTTCCTTTTAATCTGAACAGAAGCACTCTAAGTTGATCTCTTTTTGTTGCAGGTTCTACAAGTAGTAATACCATGTGGGTAGTTATTTTTAATACAATATATGCAGAATTGTTATAGCAACACGCTAGTGAGCTGGTTAATACAGTACCTTCTTTTCTTGACTGAAATATAAAATTAATCTCTGTAATATCCTCAGTAGCAAAACAGCCGTCGAGAACTTCATAGCAGTATGTTCAAGAGAGTGGCAGAATATTTTCACAATGATGAAGATCAAGCTCTTTTACTAAAGTTGGTCAGAAATGGATGTGTTGGTGCACTCTAAGCTACTGCCACGCAATGTCTGCTAGGAAAAACATTATTAGCTGCCACAATTAAGTTTTAGATAACAAACACATTGACCTGTATTTTTAACAGGAATTCCCTTTTTAGTGATTGAGTATAAATATCATATTCTTGTTCTTAACTAAGGCACGCAACTGAGTAAGGCCCTTATGTGAAGACTACTGAACATTCTTTTGCTTCTGGCATAAATCTGAAGAATTGCAATAATTACCTAGAGCAGGCTCAGCAAAAAGCTTTGCTTGACTTTGTGGCATTGCTTCGTGACACTGCCTGAGAGTATTTAAGTAAAAAATAATATTCCCCAGTCTTGACTGGCCCTTATGCTGACTTCACCTCCCAATGCATATAAGAACTAATGTAAAATGAAACAAAACAAAACATCCTGGTAATGGAGCTGCATCTTCAACTATTTTGATTGGTATGAACTCCACAGGGTGAGCTCTTTGTCATACTGTGATTATGACGTCTTGTGTAGTACTCAGCTTCCTCCTCAGTCAATGACTTGGACTTCAACTCCCAAATCTCAGACCAGTGGCCATGTCACCTGGGTCTTCTGGGAGCTGAAAAATGAACCAATTGGAAGATCGTTGATATTAAAGAATGTACCACCTGCTAAATTTCAGCCTGCCCATTAAAGAGCCTTGCTACAAAGACACCCCCTAGTCACTGCAAGTGCTTGAGAAACAGATGAGTCTACATGCATACTAATAGAATCACATTATGAGGTATGCACTCTATACTGTATTTCTTCTAAAAGATCCATTAGAGAGGCTTCATGCTCTCTTAGGGCTCAATCCGGCAATCCTATTAATACTTTGTTATGAAAGTACTACTAATGCTTATAGAGGGATACCTCAAGGAAACATATAAGCCAATTTTAGCAACATTTGAACACCAAAGATTGAAGATGGGAAAAGGGCCAGCCCTATAATTTGGCAGACTGAGTCAGCTATTTCGCACAGCAATTGTGATGAAAGAGGACAGAGCAGAGTAAGCTACTTTCCAATATGTAGCTTGTAAGCTGAGGTGGAAGATACTGCTGCTTTTTATGTGTTAAAGTAAGATTCAACTGCCAGTATGGCTTCCATACATGGAATGGAAGAAGACACCATTTTGACCTTGGGTTCAAGTATCAAAATGTCTTGAGCTGGCCTTACCAATTAACGGCAGAAACATCCTATTGGTAAAATTTCTGATGGAAGATGGGAAAAGGGCCAGCCCTATAATTAGGCAGACTGAGTCAGCTATTTCAGGCAGCAATTGTGATGAAGGAGGACAGAGCAGAGTATGTCAGCTACTTTCCAATATGTAGCTTGTAAGCTGAGGTGGAAGATACTGCTGCTTTTTATGTGTTAAAGTAAGATTCAACTGCCAGTATGGCTTCCATACATGGAATGGAAGAAGACACCATTTTGACCTTGGGTTCAAGTATCAAAATGTCTTGAGCTGGCCTTACCAATTAACGGCAGAAACATCCTATTGCAAGTATCAAAATGTCTTGAGCTGGCCTTAGATAAGAGACAGTATACAAGCCAGTGTGAAACTGGACATAATTCATTCCACATGGGAGTTGCTGGCTGGGCAGTAGGCATACTGCATAGCATTGAGTCTTTTCTGGTTGCTTGAAGTCAGTTTTCCTTCAGCATTTTTTCTTTGTATAAAAATTTCCATGGTGAACATTTAAACTCACAGTAAGAAAACAGCAGAAGGTTCTGAACATGTAATTATGGGAAACAACTTCCATACCAATTAACGGCAGGAACATCCTATTAGTAAAATTTCTGATGGCAATTCATTGTAATTTACTCCCATTTATGATGATTTCCAGAGTGAATGACTGTATAAAACAGCAATCCTAAAAGTAGCCGAGCTAGAGACATCACAAGTAGCAGCAAGACTCTCTTGAGCAACAGCTGCCCAGTCTCTTCTCCAAGTGACACACTGTGGAAACCACCGCCCATGCTGCTGTTGGTGCTACCTTCATTTTTTTAAAGCTGCTACTGCCTCTCTCCTTTTCCTCTTTCTCATGTTAGCTGAAATGTGGTCCTCAAGCTCTTGTTACAAGCAATAGGCAGTGAGTGACAGTGACAGGTCTGCCATAGTCTCCAGCACTCTGCTGGCTGAGACAGCTCCCTCACCAAGGCTAATGGTAGGGACAGGCCTGCTAAACAGCTGCTGCCAGTCAGAGCTGACAGTGCTGGACTAAACTATGGACAAAAATATCCTGATCTGGTATAAGACCACTTCCTATACAGCCATTATGTCTTGTACTAACCTCCTTTTCTTTCCATAAAAGAGGGAAGGAACTCCCCAAAACCAGACTGAGTTATCTTTCCTCCACCAGATGATCAGAGATTCCTTCCTTTTCACCACATCATGTACCCCTCATCTCCACCCTTTGTTCCACATCATCCAACAGAGTCCCCACACTCCCCGTGTAGAATTTTCAGGGGCCTGTATAGGCAGAAAGGGGCAATTAGTCCAGAAACCCACTCCTCAAATCTGGATTCAGTCTTTTTCAAGAGAGGTTCCACACCTCCAGTGAGTTTCCATGGCTGAGCAGGGATTGGAACCCAGGCCTCCTAGACTGCCACTCCATCCACTACACCACTTCTTTTGGTGGGAGTACTAACTTTTAATAAGGCAAGTTGCCACTCCTGGAAGTTTTCAGAAGTGGCAATTTGTAGGCTTTTAGCCAGAGGGAAAAAAAAAGGAGGGGGGAACAGGAATTAGCTGAGGGTATAAAAACAGACTTGAGGTACATGGAGCTCCAGGTCTGGCCTACACAGATCCATTTTGAACCCTATTTAGGTATTACTTTAAACTTTATATTTTGTTCTATATACTTACCAATCATCTCCCTAGCTACCTTGTATTTCCCATCAAGTTTAGACTTTGATAGGAAAGGCAAGTTTAGACTTTGATGGGAATGACAAGAATATCTTGCTAAAAGTTAGCAGCCCCACAAGAAAGAAAGAAAGAAAGAAAGAAAGAAAGAAAGAAAGAAAGAAAGAAAGAAAGAAAGAAAGAAAGAAAGAAAGAAAGAAAGAAAGAAAGAAAGAGGTGTAATGGATAGAGTGGCAGACAAGGACTCAGGAGACTTGGGTACCAATTCCTGCTCAGCCATTGAAACTCACTGGGGATCTGGAACTTGGTAAAGCCACTCCTCAAATATCTCACTTACCTTGAAACCCCTCTCCGGGTTGCTATTAAGTCAGTTCCGACTTGACAGAAAAGAGCAAGCCACTTTTTGTATGGGTGGTGGTGGTTGTATTTGTTGATGAGCGCTCCTCTCCCTCTGCATACCTGGGCCAGGAGAACCCTTTGATGAATTCTACCAACAAGCAGCGAGATCTGCTGCTTCCAGATCAATGTCCCGTTCCTGGCTTGTTGAAGCCATTTGGAACATTAAACATTTATTTTCACCTTGATCTCCAGCGTTTTCTCCGTGTGAGATTAGACTCCAGTACTGCTTAAAAAAACAACACACCACCTCATTGGAATTTATTATCCAGACATCCTCTCTAGCTCTTTCTTCCAGCTTTGGTTTTCCTGAGCATCTTTCCCCTTGGCCTTTGATCTGCCAATTTTCTTATTTTCCCCTAACATGGCCCAGCACACACCCGTCCTTCAACATTTGTTCTTAAGGCGGGGAAAAGAATCAGTGGCCGCTCAGAATTACTGAAAAGTACAAAACAAAAAGCTGTTAACAAATCTGCTAGAAATATGTTTCATCCCTCTGGAGATTTTTCATGGGACCTTTAAAAGTTGGACGATGGTAATACAGGGATGGGTTACTAGCCTGCGCTCCCTCCTCTTACTTTAAAGGGAATATAGGGAAAGGGAAAGCAACAGGGAAAGGAGGGGAAGGAATGAGAGGAGGGGCTCTTTTCCCCGAGCGCGTTGGCTCTGTCCATGGTCAAAGTAATTCAGCCGTAATCCCCCTTTCTCTTCCTCTCCTGGAGCTCTATTCATATTCTAATCACAGCTTTTCCTTCTCTAAGCTAGCCACTTTATCAGAACCCCGGCTTTGCTCTGCTACTTACTTCCCCTCACAGCACACAGAGCCGCCTTCAGAAGAAACGGGCAACTTCTGGCCAGCCTTTTCCCTCTCTTTTTCTCTGCACGCATCTCTGCCTCTCTCACACGCATATTCCCGCAGAAGCTGTCCTGAAAATTCGGGTAAAGTTCTCTGCTCAAATGAATTCAGAGAGAAAGAGAGATCCGTATATCTAAACCAATCAATTCAACCCATCTGATCATTTCTGGTTCGTTTGCCACCGTTTTAGGGGCTTCTTCACACGTTCGGCTGAAAAGACGCACGGGTTTTCCTGCGAGGCAGGAATCCGCAGCCAGCCCCAGCTCCGGAACATGTGTATGTGTGCGATGCAGATGTCTGTGAACATGTTTGTGAATTCACATGTTATATTAAATATATGTATATATATATATTTAGAAATTGAATTGGCATACCTATGGGACTAGTAACGTGTGAACCTCGTGGCTCGTATTCAAAA